CTTTCCCTCTCTAATTTCCCTGAGTTAAGAAAAATCTAAGTACTGTCCAAACATGTGAGCAGGCAGCATCACAGAGTCAACGTACCTGCTGATTTATTTAAAGTCTGTGTTTCTAAATATGAAGCAAAAGTAATTAATTCTAAACGCTATAAATAAAATGAAACTACTGCATAGGGGGCCAAAGAAGCTGTGAAGATAATACTAGTAGCATTAAGACAGTCCTTATGACAGACCCCACATCCCACTTTAAGGCTGTAATATCAGAATGTATCGGTTTCAAACTCAGGTTTATATCTGAATGCTGCAGATAATGCATTCAGCACCTGGCAGTCTCAAGGATATAATGTTTGGACAAGCGGTTAGATTTTTCCACTTAACTTTCTGTAGAAACCAGCAAAATAGTAACAGGCGCAAAACCAGCTAAACCAGAAATTTATTTCTGTAGGATGTATTTCTGTAGGATGTATTTCTGTAGGATTTGTGTTTGCCTATGATATTTACAACAGAGATGTTTCTAAACTAACCTTCCCAAAGCACATACATTGAGTTCTGGAAAATTTCTCAATGGAACATCTCTGGAACCCCTAGAGGTGGATGCTGTCATTTTATTTATGACTAATGAAAATGGAGCCTTTTTTCATTTTTGCCATTTCTTTCAGAACTGTTTTAAGGAGGGCTTGATTACATTTCTGGAGGTTATTAGATAAAAGCTAAATACATTACACTTTCAACAAACTATCTCATAATTTAAGATTTAAAGGGCATGCATTTATTTAAACAGTCAAACCACTGCTACAGAGTTGAATTGTAGGTCAGATTTCATTTAAAAATGCTTTCTAGCAGATGTTCTCTGATTGTTTGTGAGACAGTCTCCCAGGAAAAATATGGCCATAAATGATTGCGAGTATCGTCTGTCTTTAGTGGATACAAAAATTTTCTCATGTGATGTCATACCAAATCTTTAATATTAGGAAAATGGAAGTTTGATTGGTGAAACTATGCTCAGGAGATGAATAGACATCCTTACTATTCTGCAGTGCAGTTGGCTCGGTGTGTTGGTGATCTAAGTCAATGGAACTAGTTAGAGCTTGTCTTTGTTCAAGGTGGTTTTCACAATGCTGCCATAAAAATGCTCTCTGTACATGAGGCACTAACCCACTGCTCTCTGCAACATCACCATAAATATATGACATTCATATGATATATGCTCCAGATACCTTGGGAGCAGAATGAGACCATAACTAACTTGCTGAGCTGTTGCAAGATCCTGTGACAAGGCTAACGTACAGGGTAGTTTCCACCACTTGTATCTGCACAATGAGACAGCCTCAAACCCTCAGCCAGCACTGAGGTCCCATGCTGTTTGACCAGCCCATAGGAACAACCATCATGCTGCATCACCTTGTACGTAGTACCCCAAAGGAGAAGACACCTGATTCTGAAATACCTTTGTTTGATGAAAGCATTTGATTGTTTGAAGATCTGGAAAAGATCCTTTCTCTTTCTGAGTCTTGAGGGCCAGATATTAAAAATGAGGTTGTGGCCTCAATACAAGCTTTTTTTTGAGGAAAGCCAGGCTGGCATAGCCACTCACTATGAAATGCTGAGAGCTGTTGATTTTCATGGGCTTCTGCTAGAGTTGGTGGCATTTGCTGCATTGCAGGACAGGTTTTTTATTTTTAATTATTGGAAGAAGTATGGCTTGAATATCTGAACATTATGATGATGTCTCAGGTTTTATTCACCAAATCTCATTTGGTTGGACAGCTAGAAAATTTCACAAGGGCAATGACGTATGTTTTTCCTGCTCCCAAAAAAAACCACAGTGGAAGCCACCACCTGAAAATCCCTGACAGGTTTCACTGCAAAGTTAAGGGAAACTCTGATACTTTGGGACAGAGGGGCTCTTGATCAGTGGGTTACTCTGGCAGAATGGAAAGGCTGTCTGGATGCACTGGGCAGGTTTTTAGCTGCATTTGAAGAAAGGAGGAGAGTTTTGGTTATAAGATCTCTGGTTTTCCAGGACTGTGATGGTTTTAATGGGGTTATTCCTTTAATCCAGGCTCTGTCACTTTAGATCGGAGTTCTTCTCACATATTTCCTCCCTCCTTCTCTTTCTCAACCTCTTCACATGCAAAGAGCAGTTAAAGTGCCCTTATGTGATGGTTGGTAGGTCTGGCTGAGAATATTTGCATCCCAGTAAAAAAAAAAAATAAAAAAATGGTGGGGCTGAAGTAAAGAAATGTCTTCAGGTCTGCAGGCAGTAGCTCCTCATTTGGGTTGGTATGCAGGTCCACCAACGAGGCTCAGATGTTAGCAGGGTGCTGTGCATTGCTTATGAATAAGATAACCTGATTCATGCTGCTACTCGTATTTGGAAGCAGTAAAGCTGTACATGGGTGGGTTCCTCCTGCTCTGGGTAACATGAAGGCTAAACCCAGTGTGCCCTTTGTTCTTTCCATTGCCACATGCATGCTACACCCTAGTTTGCCTCCCCGGCTTTGCAGCATCTCAAGAGTAGCATGCATGCATGCACACAAGGAGCAGGGATAAAATTAGCAGTGAAGTCAGGAGGATGGATTGCTTAACACTTTGTAGGCTGCAATACCTTAATACTTTATTCATGTCGCATTGCTCTTTTCTGTGTTTCCAGATAACCAAGTTGAAAATTGACAGCAACCCTTTTGCTAAAGGATTCCGGGACTCTTCCAGACTCACTGATATCGAGAGGTAATGGGGACTTTCTGTTTACTTTCCATGCAGATAAGATAAAGAGAAGAGAGAGTTTGTAGGAAAAGCATCCTTTCAACTCCTGAGAAGCTGTGCATTTTAACGTTATCTTGTTGCATATAGTAAGCCTCCTCCACCTCCTTTAAAAATACTTATAAACTTTATGAAGAGAGAGCTGTTTTGACTTTAGACATCTGTTCCAGTTGGGGCCGATATATTCATCTTCCTGAGGGGGTTTCTTGAAGGGGAGAGAGGGTCAGCTTTACAACTTCAGAATGAAAAGAGTTTTTCTTATCATTCCATGTAATCCTATTGAGGGCTGTGAATTGGGTCAATGGGAAACAAGGGCAGTGGTCCTGTGAAAAACATCTTTATAGCTCCCCACTGCTCCATAGAGTGGAAAAGAGAGAGGGGAACTTCCCAAAATACACTTCAGCAGTCCCAGACACTGAAGTCAGCAGTTACTGCCATCAGAACAAATCCTATAACTCCCACTCTGCTGACAAAGATGCCATTTTTGTTTCACCAAAATTGTACTGCAGGCTGCATCAGGGGAGAGCTTTATCTGGGAACTATTGAGTTTTGTGTGTGTATGGCTCATTATAAGCAACTGCTGCCATAGGGACAGAAGTATTAACCCACAGTTGAGTAGGAAATAAACTTCAATCTCTTGGTAGCTCTCCAGCAGGTCACATTTTTATGATATCGTGTCAAATAGTTTGGCAAATGAAGCAAATTAAGCTGCCTGCATCCTTTAGGCTGGAAGAGAACTCGATGGAGATGGATACAGCACATCCAAATTTTCCTATCAGCACATGATCATGAAAGAAAAATCTGAAGAGGCCAAAACCCTCCAGGCTCCTATGTGGGGATATCCAGATGTATTTGTGAATCATCATGCATAGGTGCATACAGGGGACAAACTGTTTAATGAAGTCACATCCATACAGCTACAGAAAGTCTTTACAGCATTTCAAAAGTACACCAATCTAAACAGGTCTATGAATGGGAAATCGTGGTATATTTTATACCTTACTAGTGACTGGATCATTAGGGATCCATTGAGTACTTGGGTAAAAGAACACTAATTTGGAGAAAGCAAAGACTGCAGTAGACACTTGCAAAGTCATTAAAAAATGCTTCCTAAGTTAAAGCCTTTGTTGAAAATGAAAAAAAACCAAAACAAAGCCAAAGCAGATTTAATTAAAATAGCATAGCTTGCTGTAATAACAGGATACTAAGGCAAACAACATACCAAGCTCAGATTTGTATGCAACAAATAGTCAAGAAAGAACCTATAGGAAGAGAAGAGACTTTGATTTTCAGATTTCAGTTTCCTTGTTTTACAGAGAGGTGGCATCTAATGACACAGCTTTGCAAGGGCTGAGAGAGCCTGCATAGATAAGCTGGGAGAAAAACTTGGTTACCTTTGTGTGGATGAACTGACTATCGTGGTGCTGGATATGAAGGGAATTTTTCCAGAGGACATATTATAACAGCACATGGCATGAAGTCAGAAATGCTGAGCATAAACCACAGTGCCCTTTTGTTTATTGATAAGTGCAAGAATAGAGCCTGAGACAGGCAGCCTAGCCCAGGCATGAACGTTGCCATGAAAGATAAGGTAGTCAAATGTGAAACCTACAATAAATACAAGAAACAGAACATGAGAAGCATTGAAATTACATTAAAAATCTGGATTTGAGAGTCCAAGTTTAGTGAAGGTCTTATTTTGACTTAAATTGGAAAGCTTAGTCCTGATGAGGGAAAAACAGTATTTTAAAACAAACAAACTAACTAAACTTGCTGCACAACATATCAAGTAATGAGATAGTAAAGTGTAGCACATGAGGGCTGGTAAGAGCCCTCAATATGACAATATGTCTCAACATGACAACAGGAAGAATTTCTTACTTGATGTCCATCATGACACGCATTACAAGATGGGGGTGGCACATTGAACAGTACAGCGTGACTCTTGCTCCATCTAGTTGGAAACTTATTTCTATTAAATCACTGTCTGACAAAAACATTTATTTGCCAGGAGAAAGTCTATGCTGGGCAAATGTACATTGCACAGCTCTTGAAAACTGAGTAGCTGTGAAAATACCCTCCATGCACTGCTTCCTAAGCGGGCCTGTGTGCATGCATAACCCGCGGTGCTGTGCAGTGATCCTAATGGTCTCCTGCAAAGCATCCTGTGATGTTCAGGCCAAGAGAGCGCTCATTTATCGCGAGCTTCAGCTTTTCCGAATGACCTAAGTAGTGTGAAAGTGTACAGAGCTTTGTATTTCATTTCCAGGTATTTAAGCCTGCTTTTTCCTAAACAGCCTTTGGGGAGGGAAACAAATCAGATCAATTGATCTTTAGAGACCTAAAGAAATTAAATTAGTCTGGAGTCAGTTACTGCACTAAACCATCCAGTAATTGGATTGCTCCTTGTAACTGATTGAAAACAGCCTCTATCTGTAACAATATAAGGAGCTTTTCTTTATAGTAGATCTGAGAGAAAAACACATCTTTTTATGACATGATGACAGAAATTGCACTTTTTTAACCTAATTGAATATGATTTTATAAATATGTGACTTTAATGATTTCAGGCTTCCCATTCTAGATTTACGATCCCTATGTAGGAAATTCAGGCTGCAAATGCCTTTAGGATTAAATCTGTTTGCATTATACGTGTTGGAGATAAAATAAGGTATGTAAAGGTAATGAAATTTGCAAAATGGTAGAGGAGGTAGGCAACAGCAAAGCTATTGAAGTCCTTGTATTTTCTTTTGTTCCTGTTTGAATACCTTACAATGGTTTCCTTGTACCCATAGCTATATACACAAAGCTTTTAATGACTGGAAAAATATTTGGTGAGTTTGGTATATATTGAATTTTCAGTAGGATTTGAGATTCCTTCCACAGCCAACTCTTTCCATACATTACTTGTTGTAATCTATTTATGGTAACGGGGCAGACTTTAACTGAGGCTACTGTGATTTAGATAAGTTGCTGTTTCACCTTTTGATCTTTTTATGTGGTATTTACATTTCCTTTATTATAAAATGGCTTCCACAGTGGTTGTGATTGAAAAACTGAACATTTAGCAGCAATTGTCAGAATGTGGTGGAGTTGTACTGTGGAGTTGACTATGGAATGCCAAATGCAGTAATGTGGATGAGCGTGGTCTTTTTTAATGGTAACCTTTGTGAAAAAGAATAATGCAGGCTTTATAATGAGCAATTTGCTCTGGAGATAGGCTTTATGGGAATATGTTTATGCTTCCACTTAATAAAAAACTACCAAAGCCACAAAAGGATGCAAAATCAGAACCCAACAGACTGCTTTTTTTATCTTGAGCCTGAATTTATCTTACAACTTGTTGTGAAGAATTAGCCTTTTAGAAATAAATAGATAAGTAAATAAAACCATCACAATTAAATATGTAAACAATACAGTGGAAAAGGTGATAAATTTAAGAGTGTGAGTCAACAGAATTACTGAATTATAAAATAATGATCAAACAAGAATTGGCAGATCATAATCATGACCTGAATGTTCTTTGTCTATTTGATCCAGTACATGATAGGCAAGCTTAAGGTGTGGACTTGTAGCTATTAAAGAGAGCTAAGCAAGTATACCCATCTGCACAAGTCCAACAATGCTTCTGGAAAGTAGATACATATTTCAAAAGGCAATATGGAAAAGTATGGCTGCACACGCAAGTAATTTTCAGGCAGAGAAAGGAAGGATTGGAGGGTGGGGAACTAAGTGAGTGAGCAGCATCCCAGCTGGATTTGCATAGTAATCAGATTCTGAATTTTCCCCTAAGGAACTTCATGTCTGAGATGTGGAAATACATTGTACTGGCTTATAAGGCTGTAAGTGAAACGGATGCTAATGCCTGGATATGGGCACTACCCTGTTGAAGTAGCAAAACCATCTGCTTACTGATGTGCTGTCTGCAGCAGTCCTCTCTCCCATCCCTACCAACAGCCAGAAATATATTCTGTCTATGACCTGCTTCCATGGTTAAGTAGGGCTTTGTCATATTTCTGCGACAGGTCAAACTCACCTGCTGATCTTTTATCCTCAGCTAGTTCTCAGTCTGCAAATACCAGCAACCAGCCATGGGAGATCATCTCCAATGTTTAGGTTGGGAGAAGTGAAGTCTGGAGTTTAGCGAGAAACACCGGGGACTCTGGTGCCTAAATGCCTGGTATCTGGTGCCATTCCTGTGTGTCCTTACCTCTCATCCTCTGCCTGGCAGTCAGAAAGAAATGGTTGCAGCCACTGGGTGAAGTGGAGGTCAGCAGAGCTGGCTTTGTTAGAGTTAAGCGTGTCGCTATATTTGAGGAAAAAAGATACAGAGAAAGAGCTTTTGACAAACAATTTTGCAAGTGTGTGCTTTTTCCCCAAGTCAGAGGAGAGAAATGTAATTTTATTTTTTTTCTTTCTTTCACTGTATAAAGATAGCTGTTTTTCTCATTTTTATTTGTGATTGAGAGAAGTGGGGTGGGTATATTTAATAACCTCATGCTCCTTTGTAACTGTCATTACTTTTCCCATGTTGCGGCTTCAGCCAGGCTACGTCACCTCCATGCATATTATAGGTCTTCCAGAACTGCCATCAGTAGCCAGATACTTATTGCAAAGGTGCCAGTAGACACCACTTTGGAGATACACTTGCTCTTTCTCCTGTGATCATCAAAACCTAGATTTTTCATAATTTAATTACTTTTTCTCTTCTTTCTTAAAATCATATGTATTCTTGGAGTATTGCATCAGCCTAACACTTGCTTAGTAGTTTTGACTTTTTATGAAACTGTTTGATGACTCTGCATTAGCTTTCAGTCCAAATTAAAATTCAGTTTACGTGAGCCAATGTAGTTGGATAGGCTCTGGTTCTTCCCTGGTCAGAATTGGTTCAGTTTTAGTCTAAGCAGTGGAATGAAGCTACTTTGTTCTGGTCCAGGATTTGGCCTGTACCATGTCAGAGCTAAATT